TAGTAGTAGTAATAGTAGTTATTGTAGTGGTGATGGTGGTGGTGGTAGTAGTAATAGTGGTAGTGGTGGTGGTGGTAGGAGTAGTAATAGTCATCAGCAACAAGCATTTATTAAGCATTTACTATGTGTCAGGCACCATGTTGGACAGAAAGAAAGGCAAAACCACAAGTCTTATGGGGGAAACCACATGCACATCATGCAAACAGCTATGTAAAAATAGGCTATATACAGGGTAATTTGGAGATCCTCCCTGACAGAAAGCACCAGCATGGAGGGGGAGGGGGAAGGTGGGGTTTTAGTTGGGACTTGAAGGAAGCCAGAGCGATCAGCTCTGCTCCTTTGGTATAAAACATTGGTGGCTTGCTCACTCCCTTCTTCCCTTTCCCTTCCTCCACAAGCAGTGGACAGGTCCTCGCAATTGGGGGAGCAGGTCCTCACAATGCCCCCTCCACTCTCTGTGCTCCGCGTGCTGGCTTCCATTGCTCTACTGATTTTATCATCCTCCCATGGCTTTGTGAGCTCTTCCATCCAGGGGTTCCCTGAAATGGTGCCGTGCTCTCCTCATGCCTGTTGGCCTGTCCCTGAATACAAGATCTTGTCTTTTCATGTTGGCCACACAGGGTCCGTCGGATCTGTTGCGAACCTTCTTTGCTTCTCCTGACTTCAGGAGGTGACCACGCCAAGACTTGGCCAGCTGGTCAGCAGGGGTCCCTTCCCCTTTGCACCCGATTTGCCCAGCTTCTCTTCTGCGCAATTTCTTGATAACATTTTCTATTATTGTTATTATTAATTATTGTCATTTTTACTCCCCTCATTAATTATAAACTCTATGAGAGCTGTGCATTTTATATCAATAACATATCATGATCCCAGAATAGTATTCAGGCTACAGTTAGGGTTTCATAAAATTGTACCTTCTGTGTGACATAGGCCAGGGAAAGCCATGTCTAGTAATGAGATATTTCAGTTCTGTGATTGAGGGGCTCTTTGAAGTGGTCTCCATGGGATCTTTTGTTGGAAGCCTTCCCCAACTCCACTTAATTCAAGTGTTTTTCCTCTGTTAATTATTTCTTATTCGTATTTATGTACACATATGTATATGTATATACGTATGCTTGTATGTAGTTGTTTGCATGTTATCTCCTCCATCGACTGTGAGCTCCTTGAGGATAGAGACTGTCTTTTGCCTCTTTCTTATCCCAAGGGCCTAGCATGGTGCCTGACACGTAGTAGCTATTTAATATGTGTTTATTGATTAGTAGATTGATTGATGTGGAGCCAGAAAGACCTGAGTTCAAATCCTACCTCATATACTCATAGACTCCCCCCTCCCTGAAAGACATAGAACCTCCCTGAGCCTCAGTGTTTTCCTCTGTAGAATGTAAATGACGCTAACATCCTTTTCACCGTATTGTTGTGCAGGTCAGATGGTATGATGGATGTCACGTGCTTTGCAAGATTTCTAGTGCCACTGATATGCGAGCAGTCATTTCTACTCCCATCCCCATCCCTAACCAGCAGTCACCATCCACAGTCATCACAATAAGACACTTGGCAAGTTCTGCCTGCTTATCTCCATCCCACCAATATTGGCAATCCCTTAAGGACATGGAAGGCCACTTAATTCAGATAGGAATTGAATGAGATGAGCCCTGAGGTCCCTTCCAACAGTCCATTGTCTTTCTGTAATAATGGCTTTCCTTCCTTCTGAAGTATTCCTTAACTCCTATGACGCTAATTACTCTCCCTTCTCTGGGTTTCTCCCAGATGTTGTTGCTTGGGTCCCCCAGGCATATCTATTATATATTCTCTTAGAATTACCCAATTTTCTGAGCTGAATGGGACCTAGAGTTAATCTAATCCTACCTTCATTTTACAGATGGTGAAACTCCCTTCTTAGGGCATTAACTTCAGGACAACAAAGGTTGCTACATTTGTCTTTCTCTCTTTGTATCTACAGTGGCTAGAGGAATGTCTGGCACATAGTAGGTGCTTAATAATTTGAGTGATCAAGAATCAGAGGAATGAAATGACTGCTCAAGGATACAGAGAGCCAGTATTTTGATCTAATGTTCATGGCTTTCATCCCAGTAAGCATTTGCCCACTATTACTGATGGCTTTTGTCCTTGAACTCTTTCACATACCTTTAATGCCACCTCCCTTTCTTCAAAGGCAAGGCCCTTTTTCCATATAGCTCTTCTGTTTTCCACCATATTTGCCCAGTGAATCTTCCTAGATTGTTTAATTTGGGGTTTCTTTGGAGGAATATGGGCCCTGAAATCACTTCCTCCTAATGCTTGGCAGTGACTCTCCAGCATGACATCCCGGCCTGGGCCTTGGAGGCAGGGTGCTTTGGGGTGAACTCCATGGAAAGAGACCTCCTTTAGGCAGTTAGCCACCCCCCACCCCAGGCTCTAACTTTTAAAGGCTCCTTTTCCATCTCTTCCAGCACAGCTCACAACAGGACCATTAAATCTCAGCCCATCATTTTAGAGCAGTTAATGGGCCTGAGGACAGCTGAGCCCTGAACACAGACCCAGGAAGGAGCTACAAATTACGAGTCAGACTAAAAGCTGCATCAATATTGGCTCCCTTTAATGGTTCCCCATGGAAGAGGAAATCTCACTCAGCAATGTCATCTTTCTCTCAAACGCTATACTGAGGTCTGAGGCTGAATGTCTGTAGAAAGACCTTTGCTCCCTGTGAAGTTAAACCCAAATGGTCTGAGATCTTCAGAATTGAACTTAATAAATTCTTAAATAAAACAATAAATAAACTTAAATGAATGAAAGAAAACACACTCCTTTCCAAAATTATCTTCCTCTTCTTGTTTTTTTAAAGGTTTGTTTGGGGATTTTCCCACAGTATTTAATATTTTGTTTCCTCATGATCCTTTTTCAAAGGGTGTTTTTGCTAAAGGTTTGGGGAATAGCCCAGTAGGCTAAAGGGAGAGAGATCTGACGTGCCAAACCCAGAAGTGACAGTCTTGCTGTATGTATCCTGACATCCTGTCCTAACCAGATAGCTCCAGGGCCAGCAGGTTCACCTCTGGATCGAGCATTTTAGGAAAGGCAGAAGAGGCTGGAGCACATGGAAAGGAGGGTAGCCAGGATGATGACAGGGCTCTGGGTCAAGGCACATGAGGGTTAGTTGAAGGCATGCCTTCTATGCTAACCACAATAACGACCAACCAAACCAACAAACACTGCAAGGCTCCGATCTTGATGTCTCTATCAGAGACTTGAAGCCCTTCCCACTCTAGCTGGATCTACCTTCACAATCTTCCTACATGGCCATCATGTTCCAGCCAAACTGGCCTCCTGGCTGTTTCTCACCTGCAAGATTCCATTTCCCATTGTTACGCTTTACACTGACTTCTTGCCATTCCTGGAATGTATTCTCTCCTCTTTTCTATCTTGTAGACTCTTGAGCTCCTTCCAAAGCACACCTTGAAGGTGATTTTCTCCTACATAAAGTGTTTTTTTTTATTTTGTTCTGAGAAACACACCCCCCCCTCCAGTTGACAGTGAATTCTGAAATTGCTGTGTCTATATATTGGATGAAGTTTGCCCATGGCTTAGATTTCAACCTGCATTTGAATGGATGGCCTCCAGAGCTTATCCAAGAGTATGGATATCTGGGATGGTCAGCACAAACAGAGAACACATTTGTCACAGGGCAGAAAAGGAGGCAGACAGTTTATTTCCTGACTCTAAGCTTCCTGTGGAAGGCCCAACTTTTCAATGCAAATGTCTTACTGACATTGTGGTATGTCTGTGAGATATGGAACCATGGGCAATGAAGAGGCACATGGGGAGTATGAGCAGGCTGCCACATATACTCAACAGGTAACTCCATAGAAGAGTAAACCAAGGCCCCAAGGAGCCAGATCACCAAAGAGATGATGAGCTGGTCCCATGGAAGCTAGTGCATGACCTTTCTGTTCAGGTAGTCACTCCACAATATCAGGAGAAAGCAAGGAAGACCCCCAGCATGATGGCTGATCATCACTGATGAAATCCAAAGAGAAAGTGACCAAGAAACCCACAGCACGAGTCTGCACGGCCCATGCTGTCATCTGTACCGTCAGAGGTAAATGCTAAGGAGATACTGTCTCAGACCCATCATCTGAGAGAATGTTCTGTAGATTCTCGCATGCAATTTCTTTTGATAGAAAGTAAGCTCCATGAGGACGAGGACAATTTTATTTTTGTCCTTATTTTCTCAGTGCCTAGCAGAATGCCAGGTACACAAGAGGCACTTAAGAAATACTTGCTGATTGATCAGATAAGAAGAGGTAGGTGGGATGTGACAGCTGCCATAAGATTTGAATCTCTGTCACCTGGAAGGATAAGCCTTGCTCTTCTCCATCTTGGAGGGAAGTACAAGGAGGAATATAGGTGTGTGGGGATGGGTATCCAAAGAAGCAGATTTAGGCCTGGTCTAAGGGTATTACAGAGTGGCTTTTTATATGAGTCCTGGTTGGATTGTGTGGGGAAGAAGAGGAAGAGGAGGGAAGGGTAGGGCAGGGAGCTATGTTAAAGGAGTGCAAGGTCAGGCCCCTTCTGCCTCAGACTCTGGACTCCTACTAATGGACATAATTTGAGTCCGACTGATTATCTCTAAAGTCCCCCAGATCTTCATTGTTGGATCTTTTTCTCTCTTAGGGTGCATTCATTTGATACTCATGTTATGCTGGGAGACCTACTGAGATAGAGGAACATCCCTACTATGGAGGAGCAGCCCCTGATGGAGTTCCTGGGAGAGTGAGAGTCACACATGGTGAAAAGGCTCGGATGCAGCATGACCACCATTGAAGTGAGGGGCCAAACCAATGTGAGCAAAGATCTAGGGACTTATTTAAGTGTGGAGTCCGAACCACACGAGGCAGGAATCGTGAACTAGTCAAGGGTGAAGGGCTAGACGCTTTTGCTCTGGGACGCTCTCCCCCTCCCACCACACTAAGGTCTTTAACCATTGGTTTCCATAGCTCTAGTGACCTACCCCCTTGGGTTATCCTCATTAGTGTTGATCTCGCTCTCCTTATGGGCCATGGGAGACCTTAAGGCTTCGGTTTCTTTGGGTTTTTTTGGGGGGATTGTTTGTTTTTGGCTAGGCAATGGTGTTAAATGACTTGCCCAGGGTCACACAGCTAGTAAGTGTTATGTGTCTGAGGTCGAATTTGAACTCAGGTCCTCCTGAATCCGGGGCCAGAGCTCTATCCACTGTGCCACCTAGCTGCCCCCTGACCTTCAAGCTTCTGTACTCAGATAGAAAGTTTAAGGACAATGAAATCACCCTGCATGACTTTTCAACTGAGACTATTTGAATTGAATTTCTGAGACAATACAACTGTTTCAATGCTGGGCTCCAGTGTCATCACTGGTACCTTTGGTCACTACCATGTTTCAGCCAAGCTGCCCTTCTGGATGACACCAAAGCGGGGGGTTGAAATACCTCCTAAAATGATAAATGTTGGAGAAGACGTGGGAAAATTGGAACACTAATGCATTGCTAGTGGTGTTGTGAACTGATCTAGCCATTCTGGAGAGCAATTTGAAGCTGCCTAAAGGGCTGTAAAACCGTGCATACCCTTTGATCCAACAATACCACTACTAGGTCTGTATGCCAAAGAGATCATAAAAAAGGGGAAAGGACCCACATGTTCAACAATATTTATGGCAACTCTTTTTGTGGCCAAGAATTGGAAATGGAGGGGATGCCCATTAATTGGGAAATGGCTGAACAAGTTGTGGTATATGAATGTGATGGAATACTATTGTGCTATAAGAAACGATGCTGACTTCAGAAAAACCTGGGAAGACTTACATGAATTGAGCTGAATGATGCTAAGAACATTGTGCACAGTAACAGCCACTTTGTTGGATGACTGACTTTGATAGACTGAGATCTTCTTGGCAATGCAAGGATCCAGGACATCTCCAAAAGTCACATGCTAGAAAATGCTCTCCACATCCAGAGAAAGAACTATGGAGTTTGAATGCAGATCAAAGCATACTATTTTCACTTTTTTTCTTTCTTGTGGTTTTCCCCTTTTGTTCTGATTCTTTTTTCACAATGTTACTAATGTAGAAATATGTTTAACCTGATTATACATGTATAACCTATGCTATATCAGATTGCTTGCCATCTTGGGGAGGGTGAGGGAAGGGAAGGAGAGAGAAAAATTTGAAACTCAAAATTTTACAAAAATGAATGTTAAAAACTATCTTTACATGTAATTGGTAAAAAAAAAATGAAATACTATTAAGGAAAAAAATGAAAATACCTCCTAGTTTCCCGGCACAGTTGTGCCTTTATATGGGCAGGAGAGTTCCCCATTAATTCCTTAGTCAGGCTGTCAATGAGCATTAATTAAGTAACTGTTCTTCTGTGTCAAGCTCTGTGCTAGGCACTGGGGATAGAAAGGGAAAAAAAATTAATCAGTTCCTGCCTTCAACGAGCTTATATCCTATGGGGGGGGGGGGAATGACAGCAAACGGCATGTGAGTGTTTAACTATGTACAAAATATCCATAAATGAAATACAAGGTAATTTGGTTGGGTATCTGATAGATTCAGGGAAGGGAGTCCTCACTTTAGCCATCTGAAGGTTGTGTTCTTTCTTGACCAATTTCCTGGGCAGGCTACTGAGTGGGTTCTCCCTCATGCCAGTGATGAGAGCCCCTGCTAGCCCACTGTGTCCTCTATGGAGGGCTCAGGGGCCCCCAGTTCAAGGAAGCTGTTTTGGCACAAATGGCAGTTGGGTCTTCCACAGGCTTCTGTGCTCTATGACATCCATAGTGCCTGGACAGGAACGAAGCGAGTCCTAGGAACTTATCTGCACGTGTGCAGGGAGGGAACCGGAGCAAGTCCAGTCAGAGAGTACCAGGGACACAGTGTGGGTTGTGGAATTTGCAGTCGACGTGATGACCCCTGATTTGATCTCCAGCTGGCTACTTGGGCCTTTACTGAGCTGGTCACTCATTTACTAGACTCAGAGCTTGGAATCTAACCTAGAGCACTTGCACCATTACTGATCTCTTCTCCTAGTGAGCAGTTAACAGCCCTGGAAGTCCCCTTGTTGCCTCTAGGGTTACTGGACCACTGTCTGCTTAGTGAATATCAGTTGAATATTAACATGCCTGCAGGCCAACCATGCATGCCAACCATGCATGACCAATCTACTGGGAGATGTGCCTGCCAAGCAGTCACCTCTCCACTCCATCTCCACTGCAGCTTCTGCTTGGTGCCCTGATGGACCTTCTGTCCAGGATTTTTTCCTCTCTGCCGAGCCTCACTTTCACCCTCGCTTCTATTCCACCGAGTTTCAAGGGAAGCTCTACCTGCCTGTGGGATGAGATGGGGGGCAAAGGGTAGAGTGAGCCCTCCCCCCATGTTTCTGATAGGGCAACAACCCCACAGCTGTGCTCCAAATGGGTACCAAGGGAGGTGGGAATGGCTTCACTAAAGACTAGATAGAAGTAATCCTTTTTTCTCTCCCATGTGACAGATGCCTTTCATTTCCTCTATCGTTTATTTGTTTGATCATTTGAGTGACAGAGGGTAGAAAACTAAGTCGTAGCAGTTGGACCTTAAAGCAGATCTAATTCCTGATGCTGTTTTCAGCAGCCAGCTCTCCAACTGATCAAGGCCTCTCCCTTCTCCTTTTCTTCCATACTCTGCCGGTTGTGGGCCTCACTGCTTGTGAGACAGCTCACAAAGAGGAGGCTGGGGCAGAGTGAGATAAGTAGGAATTTATTACTTCTCCTACTCATGTGTTTAAGAAAAGGATCGAAAATGTCACCAAAAATAGAGATTAGACTTGTTTTGCTTGACCAGAGAGGGCAGCACGAGGAACAAGGTGGAGGCAGGCAGGGTGGGGGAACATCGCAAAAAGGTAAATGAGCGATACACAGACAAATACCCTAAGAATGAGCACCGCCCGAGGTTGATCAGGCTAGGGGTGTGATTTCTCCCTCACTGGCAGGCTGAAAGTCAAGTCTGGGAGCACATTGGTCCAGTATAATGTGGGCAACATTCTTTTCTGGGCATGGCTTGAACTAGATGGCCCTGGAGGTCCCTTCCAACTCCGAAATCCTTATCTTCTGTAGCGGGCACTAAAATGAGTGTGGGCATAGGTACAAATCTGTTTATGGCAATACTTTTTATATTGTAGCGAGGCTTGGAAACGATGGGGATGGTTACCTCTTGGGAAATGGCTGAACAAATGATGGATGAATGGAATGGAAAATCATTGCGCCCAAAGAAATAACGAAAGAGAAAGCTTCACAGAAAACTGCGGAGACACGTTGGAGGTAATCCAGAGTGAGGTGAGCCCCACCAAGAGAACAGGTCACACAAGGAGGAAAGCACTTCAGAGAAAACCACCTTGGCAGCACCGCAAACGGCCCAGGGCAAGGAGCAGTTGTGAGGCTGACGCCGCAGCACCGGCGACTAGCATCCGCGTGTCCGCCGTGCTCACAAGGAGGTGAGCAGCCCGAGCGAGGGCCAGCAGCAGCCCATACTTTCCGACACGTTCCGTGTATGGATTTCTTTCGCTGGACTGTGTTTGTTAGGTACAAAGGAGGGCTTTTACTTTTTGCTTGGAAGATAGATGTTGGACAGTTGGAGAGTGGTGATAGTGAGGGGGAAAAAAAAGGAAAAGAAAAGACATAACAAAAGGCCACTGACTAATAAAAAAAAAGATAGAAAAGAACAGAAGGGAAAGGGGACACAGGCGAGCAAGTAAGTGTTGGTGCTGCCATCTTGATTTTAATATATACTTAAAAATAAACCAAGTAAATTCATGAATTCACATACAGACCTCTTTGCTCTTTGCAGAAGGAAATCATCAAGGGGGTTGATATTTGTTGGGTTCATAATAAGAAACTTTCAAAAATGAGGCTGGGATTTTTATTTTATTTTATATTTTATTTTTTATACAGTAGCCTCTAGCCTCTATCTTTGCTTAAAAGTGAAAATCGGGACCTCATTGAGCGGGAGAATCGTCTCTTAGTTTCTGAGATCCATGCGCCCTGAGAGTTTCTGACTTCGTGAAATGGGAAGAATCCGATCCACCGCCGATCTTGGGTAGCTGGGGTGCGCACCCAGGCACAGTCAGGTCAGTTTCCTCACGCATAAAACGGAAATAAGCTTGCTTGTGTGGGAGGCCAGTCTTTGTGAGTACTAGAGAAACACCACTTCAGTGTTACTGTTGCTATTACAAATTAATTTATATTTCACATTAGTTAGGAGAGGCCGCATGAGTACAGTACATAGAAAACTGGCCACAGAGGCAGAAAGCAATGGGTTCAAACTTTACCTCCAGCAAATGCTGGCTGTGTGACCCTGGAAAAGTCACTTCCATTTTCAGCACTGCAAGGCAACTCTACAAATGATAAAATGTTATCATTTGCAGAATGAATGGCAAACTACATTGGTGGAGAGTTTCTTCACTGTGGAGTTCTCTGTACTAATCCAACAAGAAGTTTAAATTTTAAAACTATATTTAAAATAATTTAAAAAATTTTAAATAAATTTAAATAAAAATTAAAATTAAATTTTAAATAATTTTAAAATTAAATAAAATAATTTTAAATTATATATTTAAATATACATGTATGCATATGTGTATGTATACACATATACCCCCATTTATGTGTGTGTGTGTGTGCGTGTGTGTGTGTGTGTGTGTGTGTGTATGTGTGGACCAGCCTGCCTGTCTGCCTGTATGTATATGCCTTTTCCAAATCAAAGTGTTAAATGTAGGTTTCCCAAGGGAGGTTAGAGTAATTGTGGTAAGTGAAATGAGGTCACGGCATTCTAAAGCTAGAACAGGAAAGGCCTCAGAAGCCATCTAGCCCAACTCCCTCACTTAGGACACTGAGGACACCAAGGTCGTAGTGGGTTAAGTGACTTGCCCAAGGCCACACGTACAATCTTGGATCTAGTGATGGAAAGAAACCCAGAAGCCTATCTGATTCAGCTTTTTTCATGTGACAGTTGAAGAATCTGAGGCCCAGAGAAGTTAAATGCCTTGCCCAGGGTCACATAGGTGTCCATGGCAAAGGCAGCCTCCAGTTCAAGTCCTCCTCGTCCAGAGTCAGGGCTTTTTTCCCTCTAGCAGGCTGCCTCGCCTCTTTCCTCCTGAGGCATAGCATTGGACTCAGTCTATCAATTTGATCAGGTTTCAGGATCTGCTTCCAAAGGAACTGTAGGGTTGTTTACAGGCCTGGCAGACTCATTTTTTTTTTTTTTTTAGGTTCAGGGGAAATTGGGCCATAATGAGTTTCCTTCAGAGCTTCTCCTGAATGCAATGGAGCATGGGATAGAATTCAAGCGTTGGCCTCTAACAGTTCATTACAGGGCCTTCCAAGTTATTATTGCTCAGGAAATTGGACTGAGCAAGTAAAGCTGCCAAACACTGGGTCTCCTAGCTGACGCATGCTCAAAGAGCTGGGCTCGGAGGAAAACGGACAGGGAGCCCCAGTTGCTATTCCGACTAGCTGGGGGCCTTGGGCCCACTCATTTCCCTTCTCAGCACCCCAGGTCTGGATGTGTGCAACAGAATGGTGCTGCCACAGCACTGCAGGCCTTTGCCACAGAGAGTGCACACGTGGGAGATTTTGTGGATGTCTTGGTATTCTGGCTTCAGGTTCATCTCTTGGATAGGAGGAGGTCCCATCGAAGTAGGGACCAAGATCATTTGGGAGAAGAAATAGAAGCTGATGCCAAGACCAACATCACATTTTCTTTGGACTCATAAAATTGGAATGGAAGGTGTGTCTTCACGACAGAAATAGGTTTAAAAAAAAAAGACAACACTTAGCAAGATTGAGCCAAGTCACTAAGAAAAGCATTGAGGGAACTCTGCCAATCCAGAATGAATTTACTTCTTCTTTGCTTTTTTTAAAGCACTTGTGTGTACCCAATGTGGACTCATTCTTCTTTAACACTGGTAGACTAGTGTGTCCCGAGTTAGGATTTATTTGCAGCCTGGACATTTCCTTCCCTGAATCTGCTTGGTTAAAGATGAAGCATTGAGTAGAAAAAACCCTGAGCTTCAGGAATCAGTGCAAGGAGAGTGGATCACTCCCTATTGTGCTTGCTTAATGCTGTCCTCCATTTTGGGATGAATTAGGTAGGAGGGTAATTGACCCAGGCCTAAGGAAATTAAATGATAAATTCAGGGTCCTCCAGTCTCTTTCACTGTTCCCATTTCCCTCCCATGCCTTAGTCCCTTGGCTTCTGGGTGCATATAGGGACAGCTGCTTTCATTTGCATGAGTTTGAGAGGTATCAGTTGGATTCTTCCTGTCCTTGGCCATGGAGCAGACCTCACATTTCTCCAGATGTTCCAGCCTATCTACTTGATGTGTCATAGACATTTTAGAAGGTTTTTTTTTCTTTCTACAGAACATTGATTATTGAATCTTGTTTTCTGTCTTTGGAAAACCTGTCACCTAGAGGCTTTGAAATAATCCTCTAAACTCAAAGCATGGCTTTCCCTCCTAGCTAGGTAGAAAATAGCTGTGAAACATGAGCTGTCCAATTCTTTTGTCCTTCAAGATCCAAATCCTTTTTCCATGATGTTGCTTCTGTAGTCTCTATAAGGGAAGCCATACTTACTCTACCTGGTACATTCAACTGCACCTGCTATGGTAAAGGTGGACAGACTTCTTCTTGGTTTCCTGACTGTTCTAGCTTTAAGGACCCAAAAACATACAGTAGGAAGAGTGAGAGTTATATGTCCTGAGTTCAAATCCATCTCTGATGCTTATTACCCGTGGCCATTGATCAAGTGTCTTAACTGCCCTGTATCTCCATTTCAACCTGTCCTCAGCCACAGAACTGCTGATTTGAACCCAATTGCAATGTGATGTTGGCCTCCTCAAATAAATCAGATTAGATTGAATTTAACCATCCTCTATTCTAAGAACCCTCAGAAATACAAATGACATGATGGCCTCATTGGTGAGGTGTGTGGGGCTCCTCCCTTCATCAAAAAGCAAAGATGTGAGACTGGAAAGATGATGAATGCTTCCGAGTGCTTCAGCTGGACCCAACATTCCAAGGTCCAGCACTCCAATGGGAGAGCTACAGGGCAGATTCTCATTTTGGATTCTTTGGGAATGAGAACAGTTGGGTCCATGGCATACACCAAGGGAAGGATTTAGGCTAAAAGACTTGGAAGTTTGAATTCAGGGAACATTTTTTTTTTGTCATTCTGGTTTTGAGAAATCATATTTCAACCCCATCTTTGTATGTGCTAGCTGTGTTGATCTGATTTTTCATATCTGTAGTTGTTTAGCCTTGGCTCATTTTATGCTCCCATGTATGTAACGATTAGCTATTATGAGGGTGCTGGCCTATACCACTTTACCTCACACTAATCAATCAGTCAATCCACCAACAACCCTTCATTTAGTACCTACCATGTTTCATGCATCGTGTTAGGTGATTCGGGCTGAGGGGAAGTTATTCGAATCTGGGCAACATTGGTCAGTTTCAGATATCTTTAATCTTAGCTGCATCCCTGATGGGAAAAGAGAGAAGGGGCAATAAAGAGGGGGCAGGAATTTGTTCCCATCTTATACGTGGGGTAACTAAGAGCAAAAGCAATTGGAAAACTTATGTGAGCCAGGAACAGGAAGCCAGCTTTCCAATTTTGAGTTGCATTCAATTCCTTGGCCCACATGGCTTCAAACTAAAGTAACTGAAGTTTAGCAAGCTCCAGCATGTATTGAGATGGAAGCTCAATGACCCCTGTGCCAGGAGACAGGATTTTGACAGTGCAAATAAGGACATTGGAAATAAATTATACTGGCCCAATCCACTTTGCTAATGACTTTTTCCAATGGAAGGGAAACTGGAGACAGTGTGGAAATGTCCCAGGATAAGGACTCAGGAGCTGGGCTCAGAACCCAGCTCTGCCACTTTGTAGTTGTCTGACCCCGGATAGTCATCTCTTCTCTGTGGGGTTCAATTTCCTCTTCTGTAAAATAAGGGGTTTTGCTTGTTAACTTCTGAGTTTTTCCCCAGCTACAAATCTCTGACGCTTTTTTTCTCTCTCCCCTCATCATGATAGACATCACTCTTGCCACCCTTATTCTTGATTTTCTCCTTTTCCTAGAGTCTGGAGGACCAGAGTCTCAAGAATGATAAGGTTCTGCACTTGCTTGAGGAATGTCCCAGGATTTTATTCTGCCAGGAATCTCCAAACTTAGAATTGGAAGGCATCTCCATGGCCATTTATGCCATGTTTGTACCCAGTCCAACCCATACTCAAAGAGGTTTCCCTGACTTCTCTACAGATCTCCAGGCTCTGGCCTCTTATGTTTCCCCAGCATCACCACGGTAATCTCTTTCCTCTCCTTCTTTCTGGAACCCCACCCAGGTCAGAGGCAATAGCCCTGAGGATGGGGGGGGTGGGAGAGTCTATATTCTTGGCTGGCAGGTAGCAGCAGGGGAAAGGGGAATTGCT